GGATGGATGGATGGATGGATGGATGGATGGATGGAAGCTTGGGATGTTGTTTTATATCCCAACTCTAGTCTAAATGTCTTGATCTGTCTTTGTTCTTTGGTCTTACTGGTGCCGATTGTTCAGGTATCAGAGTAAACAGACCTGAATACAGATGGGTGCCATATTTACTGATGTATATCTAATAAAACATTTGAAAACCAGGCATCACTTTTCTTTCACTTTCCTATTATGCATTGCTTTGAGTTGGTATAGCAAATAAAACCCATTTCTATAACATAAATGGACTGAATTTATATAATATAAATCCATTCATACTGGACACGTAAAGTGCTTTACACTACAGATGTGAACATCTGTTTGCACTTATACACAGATCAGTTGGCATTCTACAACCTTAGGATTGTAAGACGACCTGGAAGGTTTGAGTTGTATGAATTTACTCACCCTTCCTACAGAAAGCTTCTCTGTTTTCTGTTCTGACTTAAACACATGCATCTCTCACATCAGACTCTCCCACACATCTATTAAGTCTTAACTCTACATCTGAATTGGTCACATCTAAGGTGAGTCTCATCTGGTTGGATGATGTTGGTAAATAAAAAAATTAAAAGTAGTGATATACTTTATGATAAGGAATTTAATGGGGTTTTTTATTATTTCAATGTAGGAATTTTTAATTTAAGGGTTTTTATAAACAATATCAAACATGCAAATAGAGAATTAAATTCCATTTAAAAAAAGAAAATAAACATTTTATTGCCTAAGTGCAATTTTTTGAGACATTATACTCCAGTTAAATTTAATATATTACTGATGTAGTTCACACATATTTTAGTTATTGATTAATCTATTGGTTTTTCTGAAGATTAATCAATTAATTTGATAAAAAATGTATTTTTTTATTTAAGCCTTTTTCAAACAATACTAGAAATACATAAAAAATGCAAATAAAAAATAATTTTATTCATTTTTAAATAAGGAAATAAACAAGTAGTAACTACTATTGACAATTATTGATTAATTCAATCAATGCGATTCTCCAAAAGACTTGTTTGGAGAATCAGATCACACATGCTTGCTCAGTCAACACGAAACAAAAATGTCTGAGATGTGCACCTTGAAGTAAAATCATAGGAAGAAGAAAAAAAAGTCTCAGATTACAGATTTCCATCAGCACCAGCTGCATTTTCAACAGGCAGCTCATTTAAGTCAAGCTGTTTACTTTCTGTATGATTTCTCTGTTAAGCAGATATGATAATGAAGCTGTTATCCACCATATGCACAATAATGACAAATTGCTTCATACATTTATCTACCATTGCATGACTTAAGGTGGAAGCTTTAGGTACACTTCACTGAGTGACTGTGGAGTCACCCTTAGTGCAGAAACTCCTGGCAAAATAATTACAAAGAACACAAAGGACTACACAGTTCAGTGGAAGGAGTGTGTCAGAAAACACCATGGGAGCTCTGTGAAGACACCTATAAGGAATGAGACTTCATTTTAATCCCTGCAGGAACGCATGCTGTGAATGAACGAGTTCAATGATCAGAAAGGTATGGGAAAAGTTGAAATGAAGAAATGGTGGCATCAGAATAAGTTTCTGTGGCTGCAATGAAATAATCTCTCACCTTACTGCTGCTTCATATCAGAATTTAACACATTAGATATCATATATTCCATATATATTTGTAAGCAGGTATAAGAAAAACTTTGGATGTTAGCCACTGCAGTAGCTAACTGTAACTCTGTGTGTTAATGCACATTAAGGCATATTTGTTGTTTAAACTATTAAAATAGTCAATATACATTTTTAGAGGAAATCTCAAGTATTCATGAATTTTGGCTCTTCATGGGCGCCTATAGTCCTTAACCCTTCCGAATACTAGGGGTCCTCTTTATATATTTTTTAAAAAGATACATAATTGTTCTATGCCTCCCTAAAGGTACATGGATAAAAAAAATACAAATGTTGGCTTCTCATACACACTGGATACTCTTGGTAACCAACCAAGCAACAGCTCAGGCTACTAAAGAGACTGGAAGCAGTAGAAGAAATATCTAACTTCCTGAAAACACTAAATATAAATTATAATGGCATCCAAAAACTCAAGGAAAAGTTATAGCTCTCTTCAAATTTCACAATATTTTCTCGTGCACTCCAGAAAATATCTGGTGCGCACAAGTTTCTTGTTTTTACCTGCGTCCCCACAGGGAACTGAGTACTTTTCAGTTACCTGAGGTTTATTTTGGATTTTTAATGACTAAGAGAGAAATACCCTGCTGGTCCTGGAATATGTACACGCGCACACACACACACGCAAACACAAAGAAAAAAAATCTGTCAACAAAAAAAAAGTCTGTTGAAACAAATCTAAAACAACCTAGAAACATCAATAAAAAAATAACTAAATAACTAAATTTTAAAAACTAACTGAATCATCTCCAACTTTAACTTTTATAGCCCAGCGCTAACGAATAGAAGAAGAGGAAAATGAAGTGTTGTGTGGATGTGTTGTGACAGAAGGCTCACCTTTTGTTCTGCTCATAGTCCAGAGGCTGAGCGATGAAGATGGTTCCCACCTCTGGCTCCACGTCAAACACGCCTCCTGTGTTTCCTGACGTGATCTGGTAACGCAGCTTCGCATTCCCACCTGCACCAGAAAAAAAAAAAAAAGAAGAGCATGCTATAATGCTATATAATACTCACAGGGTTTCTTCAAGTTTCACCTTGAGTGAAACACTTAACACTTTTTCAGATCATTATGAATGAAATTTAAAACCTATACATCCACACAAATAAATTAACTTTGTCCAGCCAACTGGTGATAAATATAGACTTACTCACGATAAGACACGAAAAAGCTAGCTAGCTAGCAGGCTAGCATCGGTATGTTAGCAGTAGCCTCAACAGCCTGGAGTTGCAGAAAACAATGCTTAATTTTAAACACATACATTTCAGCCCTTTTAAGGATGTGGGCACTCTGTACCTATAGTGTCATAATTTCAAAAGAAAAGAAAAAAGAAAGCCATAAAAAATACCTGCTTTCTGCATAAAATAAAATAAAATAATAAATAAATAATAATAATAATAATAATAATAATAAAGAAAAAATGCCTGTCTAAGATCCCGAGAATTCACAATACAATCTCTTCATGGTTGTACCTGAAATAAGCATCTTTGGTCATCTATTAGTGGCTGATCAATGAAATGCTCTCCTAAATGAAACCCCTGGTAAAGCCATGGCCTGCATCTCAATCCTCCACCCTGGATGTTAATGTGAAAGGGAAAGATGAGGCCTCTAAAGGCTAGATGAGATTCAGCGCTTATTAAGGAGATGAAAGTCAAGGAAGGAGGGAGCAGAATGCTCTAATCCAGATCGTTTTGTACTGTCTGTCTGTTTTCATTCTAAATGAGACATTAGGGAATACATAGGATTGCATTCCATTGATTCATCCTCATTGTCTTTTTTTTTTTTGCACTTGTATAAATCCCTTAAGCACTTAGAAAATACTGAAATCCAAAAGGAGGAGGAAAAGAAGCAGAACTGTACAGGGAATAATACAGCAGTTAAAATAAACAAACAACTCCAGAGAAAATTAATGTTTTTTCCCCCCAAATGTACCAATTTTGAAGTTACATCTCCTCTCTGGGTGAGGGGCTTTACTGACCCCAGAGTGCCAATAAAGATGAAGTCTGGTGCTGCATTCATGCCTTTCTGGTTACATTCTGTAGATCATGTTGCACTTATGCAATATGAATTTTACTGTAAGTTATAGTGATGTATTTATAATGGAAATGTATTACGTTTCGACTAATGGGTTCTTCGTCCAACCCAGTATGTTCCCCATCCTCCTAATGCCAATTATATTGAATGAATCACAACACAACTCAACCAAGAGCGTGCACTTTGACTTTTTTTTTTACTTTAAGAGAACTCAGATCAACCTGTTATTAATCATTGACTCCTAGGCCAGTGTTTCTGCTCTGTCCTCTCAGATCCTCAGTCGGTCGTGGCAGATGGCCGTTCACGCTGAGTCAGGTTCTGCAGGAGGTTTCTTCTTGTTAACAGTCCATTTTTCCTGTTTACTGTCATCACATGCATGCACAGTGTGAGGAACTGCTACAAAAGTGAGGATTTCATGTGATCAAATGTCTGTTACCACACGTTTGCACAGGAGGAGGGAAGGATTTCTGCAAGATCAATGACTCTATGTAACCTGCTGGATCAAGATGTAATGCATGTAACTGAAGGTTTTCACATGATTAGATTGGACTGACTAGATGTTTCTGCATATAAACTGAATGTTTATCTTGTAAAGTGCCATGAGACATTCAATCAGTGCTATGTAAAGAAACTGACCTAAAACTGAACTCAATTAGATAAAGGTTAAGCGCACATGCCTTGATGCAAATAATTGTGTCAAGGCAATTATAAAGTTTGAATTTTGTCTTGGAATAAAAATACTATTTCTACAATCAAAACTCCTTTCATGTGTTCTGTTGCTTAAAAAGAATGTGTTAGCCAGGTCAGAACTCAAAGAAACTTGAAAAGGTCTGACTGGTTCATCTCTGAATAAATTATTTAGAAAAGTCTGGGATTAAGATCAATTTATGGATAAGATGCACATACAGCATAAGAAACCTATTGCAAGCAAATCTTAAATAAATAAAAGTTGAAAAAATAAAGACAAAGGATGGCAGTGTCATGCCCCTTCAAGGTCTTTTGCCTCGGGCTGCAAGTCCTCCTCTTCACCAGTCTGCCTACAACATCGTCTCATTTGTCCTAACAACCAAAGTACTGAGTACACTGGATTCGGACTTCTTTGCTGCTTATGGAAACATGAATTCTGCTTTCTACCAAAAAATCTAGAGGGAGAATGTTCGGCCGTCATTTGCTGACCGTAGACTCAAGCACACTTTGTTTATAGCTGGAATATGATCTGAAGGAAGCAAACCAGCAAGTCTGCTGCTGTGTAGAAAACTAAATGACAATTTGAAGTATCCTAGGTAAACACTGCAAATGAACAGAACTGAGATGATGTGGTCTGGTCTTAATTAGGCTATCCGTGTTGTAAAGTCCTTCTATGTGGACGAATTAAAATAATTTTACCAAGAAGACAGGCCATAACTTCCTCCTTGTGATGTAAAAGACTGGCTGCTTTTCACCAGTATTGGTTAAGTTGTTGATTTGGGGAGTTTTTTTCTCTTTACAAGTGAAATCATAAATTGAAGAGTTCTTTTTGTATTTACTCAGGTTAAAATGTGCTATTCTGAAACATTTTAATGTGACAGAACATCAATAACAGAAAATCTAAAAGGAGGCAGATTTTTTGTCAGTTGCATTAGTTAGCAAAAATTACTAACTTAGCATTTCTAGATAAGTGAAATAAAACGTATCCCAATGTTTTCATTTGGTTATGAGATGTCATATGGAGTCTTTCTTATGTGAAACATTTAAATACTGAGACGGATTATGGCCATGCTAAGAAAATAATTGAAAAGAGAGTAATGTTAAAAAAAAACCTGCAAGACAAAACTCATAATATTCAGAGAATAAAGTCATATGGGAATAAAGTCAAAATAATATGAGAATAAAATCATAGTATTATGAGAATAAGGTCAGAATATTATGACTTTATTCTTTTATTCTTTTATTATTATGACTTCTTTCAACTGCATTCTCATACGACTACTCTCATAATTTTAATTAAGTATGGTAACTAATTTTTTTCTTAGTATGGCCCTAAAACTCCGTCAGCCAGCAGTACTATCAGCTAAAAGCTGTACAAGAAAGACCTAATTCAAATCCAGATAATAAAATATACACAGTTACTCCTATATCAGCCTCTTTCTCTCACTCAGGACGTAAAGGGGTTCAGTTTCTGTCAGCCTGAAAAAGGGAAGATGCTGCGACATAAAGCTGCTATATATGGAAGTTCATTTTCAGTCACATTACCTTTAAAGATAGAAAATGACACTGTGAAGCTCTGTAATAATCTTATCTACAGGATTCACATAGGAAAGGGATTATCATCCAGCAACACATTCCAAGTTTGGCACAGACCAATAGCATCGTGTTATTGCAGTACAAACCCTTAATATGGATGTAATATATATTTCAGTGTCTCTGTGGACAAGCATGACTTTATGTTCTCTAAAGGTATTTTGACTCCCTTCTATAAGGTCCGAGTCAGACAGACTGTGCTGCTTCTGGCAGATGAAAATATTGAAAACTTGTGACGAACAGCTCGGCGCACGCATCATGGGATATTCTAATTAAATGTGTTGCTGCACTTCCGATATAAAATTAAAATAAAGATTTCTCTGGTGATGCAGCCATCCAGCCCGACTGTTGGTGCACCAACACATCACCTTTGTCACTACCTACAGGCTCTGGTTATTATTAGTGAGTGCTGAAAGATATGTATTATACATGGATTTCACGACGTAGCATCGCAATTTGTTCTGCTCTTAGTCTAAAGACAGTGGCACGTTTTATGAAAAAGAAAATCTATTGGAAGATATTAATTAGAAAATGATCAAAATATTAATTTATTTACATTCAAATGATTACATTTTAAAAAAATATGTAAAAAAGAATATTAATGTTGATTTATTTCACTAAATGAATCCCAAAATTCACTTTATATAGATTGTGTAGATATAGATACATAGAGTGATAATATATTTTTTAGCATATATTTATACTAATTTGGATTCATATCACAGCTAATGAAAACCCCAGATTATTATTACTACACCAATCGACGCAGTAATTTATGCCATTTTATGTTATTCTAATTTATCAAGATGCACCTGTACACTAATGTCATCCTACAAAGTCTCCAGAAGTAGAATGACAATAAGAAACACATTTTCTATTGAGGTGAAGTGAATGACATGAATTTTTATGGAAATCACATCTGGCACACTGTGATGCAGACGTTAAATTTAAAGTTAGAAGAAAAGCTTCTGAGTGTCTTTACTTTGGAGAAGAGACACTTTTTTCTCAATTTTCCATCTAAATTCATGCAATCAAACCGAAAAGGTCAAACATTAGAAAAGCCTGGATCTCCTGCAGCTCTTTCAGTTTGTCCAACTGTATATTACATAAGAAAAAAAAAACTGATTTAATGTATAAATACGATTCTTTTTCCCTGTAGAAATTCTCCCTCAATATTATTTATTGGGGTGGCGACTAAAAACTGATCATTCAGAGACTTAAAAACAAAAACAAAAACAAAAAAATCTAAGAAAGAGATGAACAGAAGGACTGACCCAGAATTGAAGCATTGTTTATTCACTGTTATAAAAGAAACTAATATAATGGATGAAAGCTGACTACGTCTATAAAGAGGAGAGTTGCAAATGAATTCTGGCTGGCCTTCATTCACATAAGGTAGAGAGTTTATGGATAGATTTTCAGTGACCAGCACCCAACGGAACTTTGACTGTTCCAGTCGTCACTGCAGTGCTGCTGATAAAGAGAAAAAGTTCTGCCACTTTTCCAGAAGATGTTTTCCTGTTTTCCATCCAAAAGATGCTTCAGCTCATCCGACTGCTTGCCTTGAAGCTCATGACTGCTAAGTTACATTGTTCTTGAAGTTCCCAAGACGCAGCTGCTGAGGGTTATCAGAGCGAGAAGAAACAGGCTCAGCACATGACCCCACGCTGAGCCGAGGGCGCCGTGTTAAAAAGCTGCAGTCTCTCTGAGGAAGGTGCAGTCTGCGCTGTCGAGCTGCTGTCAGCTGTGGCTTAGTCTAGAGGTTTGAGTCTAAGTTGTTACAATGAGCCCTGAATACGCACCGGAGTGTTGAATCAACACCCTGTATGTTTGAGACTCTTATTTTGAAGTAGCAAAGGAAGCAGTCTTTAAATTGCCTGCTTATTTTGACTTGATAAGGACCAAAAAATGTCTATGACACCATTTTGTTTAAGCAGCATACAGTGACAGACAGAAGATGCTTCATAGCTTTCTAGTGATGCTAAGCTAAAGGACTTTGTGTTTCTTTCCAAAGAGTCGGGACTGCATTTAATCTTCTCGAGTAAAATATCTAACATTTAAATTGATTAAACTTGAACTAGCTAATTGTACACCGGGATGCTTTAACACATGGTTTGGTATTTATGGAGCCTTTATTGTACTGTATTTATAACAAATAAAAAATACATAATTCTCCAGCAGAATAAGCCATACCAGGCATAAACAATGACAGAAAAAAATAATAATAAAATTCAGAATTATGAAAGAAGTTTGTCAGTGGAGCTGGTTTCATCCCAGTCCTGTCACTCTTGGTCTGACACACTTCCTTAGATAAGCTGTCGTATATTGTCCACAAACAATCGTTGTTAGTTGTGCTTTTTTTTGTTTTATTAGATTGTATTGTATTTGTGAACTTGTTGATTAAACACTGCTGAACAAACTACAACCGATCCAGAGTCGGCTCCATCCATGACTTCTGTACGCAACACGCTGCTGTGTGACGGCAACGTTCTCCTTCTGCGCAAGCAGCTCACTTTGGAGTCGTATCCAGCTCACTCAGAAGTCTGCATGATACTGCATTGTTCCGTAGAATGATCATGCAAAGTAAATAAATAAATATATTGGAATTTAGCATCAAGACCTTCTGTGTGAGCGCAGCCAGTCTTTCCTCCATGTGTTCTCCATGCTCTTCTTGGGCGCTGGGAGAGTAGTTTTAAGTCATTAGATGTAGTGCCAGTGAAAGGTTTTCATCACAATTACGGGTTACTTTGCTTGTCATTTGCTGTGCTGAATGGTTGAAAGAACCAAAAGTGTTCAGGAATCCTTTAAAGAAGAAAACCGCCTCGTAGGCCGTTACCAGACTGAGATCCAGACGTGACAAGTTGAAGATATGAGAGAAAAAGAAGCTGATATAAGACTCCAGGGACGTCCGTCAGCTGCACCCGGCTTTTAAAGAAACCTTAGCTGTGAGATATAATTGACTTTAGTGATGGAGAATATTTTCAAGCCCAAAAAAAATCATTAGAGAACACATTTCCAATCCTTCAGAGTTTCTTCATGCAGCTTACATCAAATGTTATATTAAATTGCTTCTTTCACGGTGGCTGATTCAACCTCACATATTATTGTGATTTTCTTAGCTCTATAGCATGTTTTATAGTGCTCCCTTCCAAGTAAGCGGGCGTCAGACAAAAGCAGCAGAGTTAAAAGAGGATTTTTCTCTTCCTAAAGTGAGGGAAAAGCGAAGCAGTCTGGCAGTGTGGCTTGTGTAAATGTGTTTGATTATGCATTTCTAGCACTGGCCCCACATTCACGCCTACATATTCTATTCTGCCTCTATATCACCGGATGTCAAAGCACGCACACACACACACACACACACACACACACACACACACACACACACGTTCACATGTAGAGTCCTTTTTTTTTTTTCATTCCACCTACCTTCGTCCCCATCATTGGCACTAACTGTGAGAATAGCAAAGCCCACGTCAGCGTCCTCATCCACATCAACTTCATAAGACGCCTGTGCAAACACGGGCTTGTTATCGTTCACGTCGCTGATGAAAACGCGAACATATGCTGTGTCTGAAAATTTTAAAAACATACAGAGAGAGAGAGAGTGAGAAGGAGGAGAAAGGCAATTAAAACCAGAGGTTGCTCCTATTCTGTCAACGTTAACATGAACATCTGTTTTTTTTGTTTTTGTTTTTTTCCCTCTTGGTGCAGCGTTTTAGTCGCTTCGATGGAGAGTATCAAGAAACCCGAACGCATACAAGAAAACTGGCAATACTTCTACAAACACGTAAATCCTTTCAGCTATTATGTTACACCACTTTTTTTACTATTTTTTTACAAAATGTCTGTGTTGATTTTGACAGTTTTGCTGCAAAATTCTTTTCTTTTCTTTTTTTTTTACATCAACATCCAACCTAAGGCGAAGTGAGCTTCACAGGGAACCTGATCAGACGAGGATCAGGGCGATGCTCTGCGCCAACCAAGACACCATGTATGCTTCCTTTGATATCTGTATCAAGAAGTGCAAAAATTGCAAGGCAGTTTTGAGACTTAGATTAATTATTTACCGCAGGGCGGTGGAGTTGGTACACAGTTCATGGTAAAAAAAAGCAATAAATGGATGTAGCCTTAGAGCTGCACACACCGCCAGAGCTCTGCACATGTTCAGAGAGGTGGGCAGCAAAGGAAGATGAATGCAGGAAGTGACCGAGTGGATTTCAAAGCCATAGCTCCTCTGTGTTTTCACACACAGCACCCAACTCCATCCTACAGACTCGCTCTTTGGCAGAACTTCCTGCCAGCAGAATCCGTCTTATCAGGGTTGTTTCTGTGAAAACATGACAACTCACTGTTGTCTCTTGTCTATGTTTGTGCACTTAGATCTGCAAAGCAAACACAAAGTATTCAAGTGCCTTCCTTTCCTGCATTTGTTCTTTTTTTTTTTCTCAGACTCACAGACACACAAAAAAAATCCAAACAAATGAGGTTTGAATACGAAACCTAAAGCGAGAGACAGGCCAAGATCAGTTCAGGGATTTTGAAAGGAAATGTCAGAATTTTTCCCCAGCATTCTGGGACTACAGTTTGATTAAGTGGCATGTTTGGATGATTACAGGCAGTAGGTCATTTCCTGCTATTCAAGACGAAGAAAGATTAATTTCATTAAATAATCTGTCATTATATTTCCTTTCTTATATTGTATATGTATTCTGAAATAAAGAAAACCCTATGGTGCGCAGAACTAAATGGGGGGAAATGATGGGATTTCTGTGAAACCATAGCTGCATTTCCTTTTTAAATATTCGCAAAACTATTGATATTCTCCTTATCTTTAAAAAAAAAAAAAGACTCACTTTTGCAACAGTAGTGTTTCCATTAAATAAAAAATGCAATTAAAATCACCCATGAATGCGTGTTTTCATGCAATAAGACATTTAAAATCATGGCGGCAACAGATGTAAACACTTCAGCGATATATTCATAATTCAGTCATGTCACAATCAGCCATCAGCGTCTCACTCAGGCGTTGAAGCAGAAAGGCTCTTATACTTGGGAACAGCTACGTATATTAGTGGCATTTAGGGGAAACCGCAGTCTTTGATTTGAAGAACTTTGGACTCAACACATTTGAACAACAAACTCAACTTCTGATGAGCAGTTTGATGCTGTCAGAGCTCTGGTGGAGTCAGGCCAGTTCCTACAGCTGCTGCTGTGTACTAACTGGAGCGATGTGAAAAAAGTGTTTCCATTGCAGTTCTGTAAAATACACAAATGTCGATTATGGCTGAAAAACCATGACACCCTAAAGCAAAAAACGTTTATCAAATAGTTCGTTTTTTTTTGTTTTTTTTTTAATTGCTGTCTTTCTATTAAGGACATTTATTTTCATAATTCCACTTTGCTCAATTTTATGGTTAATGAAAACAAAGCTACTGAGTTCTGTCATATCATTAACATACCGTTTTCATGTCAGTGTATTTACCTCTGAATAGTGAGTGTATTAGAATGAAAGGTGTGGACATAATGTTCTGTTGCTTCAGAACTAAGTGCATTAAATCTGACAGGACGTCTGGAAATGTCCTTTCAATACGACAAGTGATCAGATNATCACTAGTCCAATAAATCAGAAAGCAGGTCAAACCATCAGTTTCAATTACAGTTCTAACATCCTGCATGCCGAGACGAGTAAACAGAGCATCGTCAAACTGAATTTCATCTAATCACTCTCTATAGCAACCTTAAATCAATCCAAACTACCAAAGTAAAAAGAAACAAAGCAGCAATGTTTGTGAAAACTAGGAATCCTGAGTCTCCAAACTTTTGATTAAAACTGTTGAGTCCAACATCGTCTTGGTCTCACACAGCTGTGTGGCTGTTGCATTCCCTCATCCAGCAAGCTGATCAACAGCTGTGGCAACTGGCAGGTGAGATTTGGCAGACTGGGACAGAGTTGGAGTTGACATTTGAGGTAATTTAAAACGTGTCTGACTGTTGAGAGAAGAAAGACCCAGCGAACCACTGAAGGACCTCACGCATGGTCCCCATACGTCTGTACCAGCACCCTGGAGGAGTAAGGCATGCAAATGTAGAACATAATTAGCTGCAACTGACGAAGCAGGGAAGAAGTAGTAGGAGGATGATGGTTTGTTTTTGTTTTTTCAGACAATGTGCAGCTGGCTCCACCAGAGCTCTCACAGCATCACAGTTCATAAAGCTGTGTGTCATTTCAACATGTTGAATCCATGACTATTCTGTAAAATCATCGACAATTTCCCCAAACGCAGCATACATAGCCTCTCCCAAGCAGGCAGGGCTTGTTGCTCCACTAAGATGCCCACATCTCCTCTGATTGGCTGATAGATAATGAGTACTAGCACCATGACTGAATTATGAATATATATCTAGTAACAGTTTTCATCAGTCGCTACCATGATCTTTAACCAATTATCACATGAACAAGCTGAATGCTGAAAATGATGGACAGCTGCAGGATACAAACACTCGGCCTCATATAAATGCTCAGAAGGAAACATGTAATAAACCCACTAAATTATGGTAAAGCCCTGGATATGATCCAATGCTGCCTGTGGCACTACCGGTCAGAATGACACCAGTTTTTCTCTATAGTGTCTATTCTAACCATGCAAGCATCTGAATCATCTACACCAATGGTCTGCAGGTACAACACTGATAAAAAAGTATTCAGTTCTTTTTCTTCATTTAGGTTTTTTTTCTACTGCTTTTGTTGATTTTACAAATCAATCATGGTTGCAATAATTTGTCTTTTTTGTTTGTTTTCTTGGCAAAAGAAATTACAAAAAAACACCTTCAATGTCAAAGTGAGAACTGATTTCTACAAAGAAGTAATTAAATGAACATATTTAACATAAAACAAGAAATTACAGAAATCTTCACCCCCTTCAAATAAAACTTTAGGTGATGCACTGTTGGCTACAATCAGAGTAAATATGTGTCTCTATATGGATTCAATCTTCCTCATTTCTTTCATACAAAACCATTCAAGCTCTGTTATGTACCATGGGCACCTGGGGACATGGCTCAAAGTTAGGCATAATTATGCTTCAAAAAATGAGCAGAAGTCAAAACAATGTGTTAATATAAATAAAAATTCAAACGTACAACCTTCATTTCTTTCGCTGTCATTCATTCCTTTTCTGGTTCATTCTACATTCAAAACAAACCAAGAACAACATCAAATCACTGCCAGTGTCTCTGTAGTTCCTGCACTTCTTAATATTTAACATCTGTTTACACTGTTACAAATGCCATGGTGAGCGAAACCTGAAGTGATATTAATAATCAATGGTGATTCATAAAAAATACAAACCTCTTTTTGAAAAGAAACTCATGCACTGCTTCTTCAAGAATGCAATACAAGAATAATTTGCTCAATCATTTCAACCTTGTATTTAACTGAGAATGATCGAGAGAAAAAAAAAGTATGAATATTCATTCTGACAGTGCTTGTAATATTACAGCTGATATGCATATAATAATTCTGCTCTACAGAAACAAAGTAGCATTTAAAAACTCCATGAAACCCTTTTTAACTTCAGTAACACACATTTCTGCCAACCAGTCCCAGCAGTCTGATTAGTATCAGACAAACATACTGAGTCTTAGATATTTGCATATCGGAGCATAAGCAATAATGTCAGACTTTATGAACTGGCTAACTACAGCCCTGCAGAATCATTAAGGTCGTGCAGCCATTTTGACTTTGGCAGCTGACTGCTCCACAGAGAGAAGTAGGAACATTATGCTGTAAAAACAGATTAAATCTTTAGATTAAATAAGGAGCTAAGTTTTTTATGTGCAGAGTTTTTTATGTGCCACGTGTTCAGAGTCTGTACTTTGAGTTTATTTTGTGTTCTTTAAAATACCTTTTTAAAATGTTCATTTTTCAGTTACACACCTGGCAAAATACACAATGTTTACAGACAAAGATCATAGTCAGATGGCAGTATGTATGACAAACGTTTGCATCAATTAAGGTTAACATTTATGAGTCATATTTCATCTTACTAGATTGGAATCCTTTACTGGGTACAAAGACAAACCGTCTTAATCAAGAATACTTAAATGTATCAGCTGGAGCTGTAAACTCTAAGGCAGGGGTCCCCAAGCTACGGCCCGCGGGCTGGATCCGGCCCGCCTCCTCATTTGGTCTGGCCCCCTGAACAATACCAGAGAGCATTCAGTGTGTTTTTTTCATATATATGTGGATTTTTCTTCAACCACCAGGGGGGCTCTTGAGCAGATATGAAACTTAGTTTCCCTCAATGGAATATATACTAGTCAGAATATATACTAGTCAGTACCAGTCACCGTTTCACTCACGGTTTTTTTCCATTTGCATTCTGGGCAAAAATCTATCTACAAACGCGAATATGTCGTCGGCAGTCATCCAGCCCCCCGCCAGTCAACAGTTTCACCCCCCCACCCCCCTCCAACAAAACTTTTCTAAGGTTTCTGTCTCGAAAAACTAAGACCGGCCCCTGACCAGAAAAGGGAACAGTCATGTGGCCCTCGCAGGAAAAAGTTTGGGGACCCCTGCTCTAAGGGATTTTATTTTTCATTTTCAAGATACTGTAAATTTTACAGTATTTCATCTTTCCTTCAGGTCAGAGGATAAACAATAATTATTATTCTTCCAAATGAACTCTTTCCATGAAAGTAAATTTGTTGCCAACAGCTACTTTCCAGGTCAGTCCCCTTTTCTTTTAACCTTTAGAGTTGCTAACAGAAGGCCAGCAGTACACCCTTAATAATAACAGATCTAATGGACCCGCAGTGTCTTCTTTGCCTCTGCTAGCTAGCTAATGTCTTCCTGAAGCTAGCTTCTTATCAAAGCTAGATAGCTTACACAACACTTGTGCAAGTGTTGTTAGTTTCCTTTTTACATTTCTTTTTCAAGTCACTTGTTAAGTCAAAGATGATCCGGTTAATATATCTCATACAGGTCTCGAGTGACGGCTGTTACGTCACAGAACAGTTCAGGTAGTTTTGCTATAATGCTAATTTGCAATGCAGCATGTTTCTCCTCATGGAAAGCCCTTTTTCCCCACCTGCTCTTTATTTTTTTTACTCTTCTGTCTTCTCTTAAGTTTCTCCCCACCAACTTCTTCATATTAAATCTTAAAGTTATGATTTTGTTTATAGAAGGAACTGATTTAGAAACAACTACAATCCATGGTTAAATTTTACTTGGCTTTAAAATGTCTTCAATGCAATATTTTAACCATGATTCCACCCTGAAAGTGGAAATCACAATTTCATATCCCTTCACAGCCACCACATGTACAAAAAACCTTACTGGGCAAAAAAATCTACCATCCATTTTCTTTACAGCCTTGTCCCTAGTGGGGTCAGGGGGGTTGCTGGTGCCTATCTCCAGCTAACGTTCTGAGCGAGGGGTGGGGTCACCCTGGACAGGTCGCCAGTCTGTTGCAGGGCAACACAGGACAAACAATCATGCACACACTCACACCTAGGGGCAATTTGGAGAGGCCAATTAACCTAACAGTCATGTTTTTGGACTGTGGGAGGAAGCTGGAGTACCCAGAGAGAACCCACACATGCACAGGGAGAACATGCAAACACCATGCAGAAAGACCTGGGCTGTGAATCAAACCCAGAACCTTCTTGCTGCAAGGCAACAGGTCTACCAACTGCGCCACTGTGCAGCCCCAAATCTACCATCAAATATTTATTTTAATACAGACTGATAATTTGCACAGTCCCTAAAGCTGTGCAAATTAAGTTCATATTTTGACTTTTTGACCACCAAACTGTTTGTACTGAAAAGTAGAAACATGTAGAGGGAAATAAACTATTCTTTCCAAGTACATTATCTGGCAGATTTAAAATTTTTAAAATATTTGTCCTATTTTGTCACATTACACTCACAAACCTTAATGGAAAACACAAAACAGTGTATATTTTTTTAAAATGGAAAGACAATTATATCTGATGTCACTGTCATTTTTCCCACTCTAGTAATAATCTGCAAGTGTGGCATACATTGATAGGCTCACATCCTGAGCCAAACTGAAATTAAAATGTTCACCTACACACGTTCGCAAAAATAGCATGAGCTCTGTTAGAAGGAGGAAAACCTCAAACATACATTTCTTGCCTTGCCATGGATTTTCAGATGGATTTAGATCTGGACATTGACTGAGTCAATGGAACACATAAGTATGCTTTGATCTAAAGCATTTCAATGCCAAAACGGCTGTATATTTAAGGTGCAACTCAGAAATTCATCTCTGTTCTAGTCACAGATCTTTGCAGCTTCTAACAGGTTTTAATTCAACACAGCCTGTGCTCTTTGTGTCCTAAGTCACCTGAAAGACTTGTGGAAAACTAAAAGTAGGCTTTCTTCTTTCCAGTCTTCCTTCTAAATGTGTTGAGTGGCCTCACTAACAGTGGGGACGAGTTGCTGTGATCCTGAACAGCCGTGTCTTGGTAGGTTTCTCACAGTTTCTAATGCGGTGATGTCTGACCACTTTGGAGACCACAATCAAGGAAGGTTTTGCCTTTTGGTTTTCCAACATTCTTTTGTAACTCTTTATGCAATTCATTTATCTATTTTTGGTGAGAAATTAGATGATTGTTTTAAATCTATAGATCTTCACTGGACTTTTGTTCCTCCTTTTATTGATCTCTTTAAGATTTCTACTGCCACCAGGTAAAAAATGATGAAACCACAACTTAGTTTAACATTTGATGCATTCGTGCTGAAAACTGACAGTAAAATGCAGTCCTTACGTTAAGCCGTCCACATTCTGCTTTGATTAACGGCCTTCAAAGTCTTTGGTGTTTTTTGGAGAAGGATTATGGACTTGTGTCTGTTTTGAGGATTTTTTTTTCTACCATCACCTTTTCTTATCCATCCATCTGTCTCAACAGCTGTTCTGTTTCTTCATCATCTCGCTATGCTTCTTGTCTACGTATGCATTTCATCTGGCAGCAAATGAGAGAGAGAGGGATAGGGAAGAGGGGGCTCGGGCTGACACGCTGAAAGAGGGAGATACCCTTTGGTTTTTGAGTAAAGAGATCGAGACGGAGCAGATGTGGGAAAAATAAACATTAACACTGCCTTCGATCGCGATTTGGAGGCTTAGATGAAGTCTGTAGAGCAGCTGTCTGCTGCACTGACTTCTTTGTGTTGCTCTGTTTTTCAAAAGAAAAAGCAATCTCCAAGATCTTGTTTCCTGTTATGAAAGGATTTTGAATTTGATGTAATAACATTTTATTTGCCGTAGCTTCCACAGCATACTCATAAACAGCAAGAAGAAGCTGTTCTATTTATTCATTAAGGTGTGTATGTCAACTTAACATGAAGTTTTACACAGAAAGGCCTTTACAGTTTGGAACAGGTTTAGTGGGTATGGCAATTCATTTTACCTTCCTACGATTCATTTTGTCTGTGCTTTTATTAGTGGATAATGCTTGACCACTGTAGAAATATCGTTAGCGTAGTATTCATACCTTAAAAATATGCCAAAAAAGACAAGACATTGAACATCTGAGTATTGAAATATATGGAACTGTGATCTGAAAATGATTAGGAACCATGCTTGCATCCTGGATTTTTACAAATAAAGTCTGCTTTTGAGTAAAGGTCACTGGGTGGATGTGGTGCTATTTAATATAAAAGTAAGGTGGAGGTTTTAAAATATCAGTACTGTGTGTTGTACATAATGTCTTCTCTTGTATTAAGATTTTAATATTATTGCCTCAAATAAATAAAAATCCAACTGAAATAACTAGTCAAATTTTTTATCATTCCTGAAATCAGTTCTTGCTAAACCTTACTGAATAAAAAAAGCATGTGCCAATTTAGATGAGTGTGGACATTCAGTTTTGGTGTCACTGTCTTCAACTGTAGGAAAACAGACAATGTATTAACGGTGTCAATCGGCTGCCTTAGCACAAGATTAAAACTACGTCCCTCCATACGAGTCACTAATCATAACCTGGACCAGATATAGGCAGAGAGAAGCTGTTTAATGAATGTGACCTCGTGGGGGTTTAACATGTTAGAGGAGAGGTTGTAACCTCTCAGTGAAGTGAGTTAGAGGGAGGGCTGTAGCACCTTCAACAACATCCCAGGCCACACAGTGGACACCGCTGGTTTACAGTTTACATCTGTTGTTTTTTTGTTTTAGGATTTCAAACTTTTATTGGACAGTTAATTGAATAGAAATATCCTGCTTTGTCACAGTGGGACTTAAGTGATTATAATATTCCTATTTTCTTTTTCACGAAACATCTGAAAGTGGAGTTTAAGTGAGTCCAGAGAAACTAACGTCTTCCTTCTGTAATAGCATTCAGCTAGAGGTAGAATCATCTTGGCTAGCTGCGGCTCCCACCCCTAACAGATCCCCTGGCACAGTGAAAAACATTGAGTACCCAGAAGAAATATGACTATTTTACAGTCAGAATATTTTCAAAAAACCAAATCTGATATTTTGTTCTCCATGTCATTTTGTTCCTGCAATAGCAGTTTTCATATTCTCACTGTAATTTTCCACTGTCAATCATTATGACCATATCTGTGAGCGAGCCGCAGACAGAAGAACATGTACAACCAGTCCTGTGCACAACTATCTGCTCTGCCAGACACATGGCAATCACACCACTAAATCTGACAGAGAGGAGGGAACGCTGCAGGTGTGTTTTTGATGAGGGAATAACATTATAACCTGATGCAGCGCTCAAAAGAGTCAATTTTACATAATACTGCTCCTACAAAGACGAGCTGTAAAGTGTCGCTCTAAGTTACCAGAGTTGGGTTGTCCATGCTTTCCTGGTCGCGAAGACTCCCAGCCATCCACAGACTGAACCTCCAAAAGGTATGAGCTTTTGGTCTCTCTATCAAACACAGCCTGAGAGTAGATGAAGCCCAGCTCCGAGTCGATGCGGAAATACTTGTGATCCCCACTGCGGTCCTCCAGCAACGAGTAGGAGATCTGAGAAGAAAGGTGGAAAACAAACCTTGGGTCTAAAAAAATAACATGCATTTCTATGTATTTACTGTCAAAGATTGTACACGAAAGTGATCAGTTAATGTGTGATTTTTTTTTTTTACCTTGCCATTAAGGCCCAGGTCCAGATCATTGGCTGATACCTGGAAAATCAAAGTTCCTGATTCTGCTCCTTCAGTGACTGAAGCCTCGTAGATGGAGGAAGTGAAGAATGGAACGTTGTCATTAACATCTGAAGATGGAAAAAGACAATTTTCCCTTCAAGTCAGAAGCACTTGATAGAAAATGCTTCTAGATCAAACCTCTTCCCTATAAGGACTGACACTAAGCCACAGATACACTAAATGTTTTTTTTGTTTTGTTTTGTTAAATCAGTACACAAAAACTAGAGAAATGCTATTAACTAAAGTTTTACAGTTTGTCTCTAATAAACCTTGTTTCTTAGTTACATAATTCCAGAATATGAAGTGCCTATTAGCAGCTTTTGTCTTTAACTGATAGAAGTCAGAGCATCACGTAAAACCTCTGTACTGAAGACCAATAAGAGATGCAAAACAAGAGAAAAGATTTTCAGAAAAGTAAAAGTCCAATTTAAACAAAGCAGATTAATGTCCAAAAGCATTACAGATTGTACTCAAAAAGTGCCACACATTAAATCTGCTGCTGCCTCATGAGCCTCTTTTCCTCCCATGTCTTCTGAGCAAATGTCTTAATCTATGAATAAAAAATTGGGTCTTAAATCCATTACAGACCTCCTTCTCCTCCTCAGAATAACTGCCTCTGGAGAAGTCAAAGAGCTTTCTTATTAAGACAGATATGGACAATGGGGAGGGCTAAAAGAGAAATGGAAGTTAGAAGAGGGACAGTAGGGGAAGAGAGGGTCTGTGAGAATTAATTATTTCTCACTGGATTAAGCACAAATGTGACTGAACAGCGAGTGTGTGTGTGATTGTGTGTGAGTGCAAGCTTTATAGGAACTGGATGCAGTGGCACCTGGAGGAGAAAGGTCAGGATTTCAAAACTTCACGTCAACAAAGTTCATTCAGACTTAAAAGACATAACCAAACAATAAAGATAGGCATAAATACAGTGAACAGGGTGTCAGTATTTATATGGGCAACAGAGACTGTGCATTGTGATCAAACGTGTTCTGAAAGGGTTCTGAAGTGAAGTTCTGGTCCGTTGTTCTACTTTTTGAGCTGCAACTCGTCTATCATTTTGAGTTCCACCAAGAATGGAGTCTGTGCTTTCCAATATTAATAAAGACACGGCTAAGCTCCACACATCACTTTGGGGGACTTGTTTACTTCCCCAAGTAACACAATGAACAGGAATGTTTCGTAAATACTTACCTGTGACATTCACATAGACCGTGGTGAAGGCAGCTAATGGTACAGCTGCCACATTCTGAGCGCGAACCCGCAGAATAAAGTTCCTGGTGGTCTCATAGTCCAGGGGCTCTGCCACCAGAATGGAGGCTGAGCCGTCTTCTCGATTGGGAGTCAGGTAGAAGCGAACCGGCATGTTGGTCTCTGGGACCATTCCATCCTCCAAGTTGTACGTTACCCTCGGATCACCAAGAGGGGATGTGGCTTTGATGGTCTTTATGGACCAGAAACAAGAAAAGAGGACAAAAGCAAAGTTAAGCTTTCAATATCAGAACACAGCTAGGTAGAATTATCCCCACCTAAACATCTTGCTCAATATATTAGACCTGAAAAAAACTAAAACTACAGTAGAAACTGGAAATATACACAGGCTGAGTGAAAAGCCCTTTTTATTCTCACTGTCAGGCATGACAGGAGACTAAATATTTGCTGTTTTGGAGTCAGGAAAAATTGCTAAAAGTTAGAGTAAGCTAAATATTTACTTAGGTTTTAGTCTGTCAGTTAAAGAAAGCCAAAATGACAATGTCCCAGCTAATATAGACCTCTAGCTTAAAACATTTGGGTTTAACTAAGACACACCTCTGAATGTTGAGATGTGTTAAGGTAATACCTCACAAACACACATCTTTCTTGAATCTTTGGGTCCAATTTCTATACCTGAAATACCCGCAATTATCTATCTAAATAAAAAAAATGTGGGAAACACTGCAGGCATGTCTAGGCACCATGTTCAGGAAGGAGACGGTTCTACAGTCTGTCCCAGAGATCACCATGTTGTCATTTTCCACATTGAAACAATTCCTGTACGTGGCAGGTTTCATGCGGTGTGGTGGTTGATGGTGAGGAGAGACGCAGGTAGACCCAGGATGTTGATGAAAACAATGAATTTAATGAAAATGCTCCACAGTCCAAATTACAGGCAGCACGGCAGAGCAGAACACAGAGGCTCAGGACCGGTAGCAACTGGATTAACGAGACTGACAAAAACGAGCAAATGCCGACACAGGACTTCACAGTACTACTGTGCCGGCAGACGAACTAACAGACATTAGACAAGGACCCGACAAGAGACAGAGACAACAGATGGACTTAAATACACACGGGGGTTATCGAGGGAACGAGACACACCAGGGAAACAATCAATGGGAAGACGCAGAGACAGAGACTCACAGGACAGAACTGAACACAGAAAACCCTTACAATAAGTACACAGGAACACAGATCATGACAGCAGGGCTGAAACGTCATTCTGTGAAGAAGAAGTCATTTTCTGCAAACCAACAGAAAAAGTCGCATTTGTGTTTCCAACACATTCAGGTGCACAGACATTCATTTTTGGAGAAACGTCCATTGGCCTGACGAAGCCAAAATTCAAATGTTTGACCTTTTAGGGCATCATGTATTTGGAAGAAAAGGTTTAATATGTAGGAAGGACTGGTCCAGCTTAAACAAAAAAAAAAAAAAAAAAAAAAAAAAGAAAAAAAATGGTATCAGAAGTAAATGACATGGATTCAGCATTTCAAAACATTAGCCAGGAAGTTAAGTTAAGGGATGAGCTCAAACGGCCCATCCAACTGGATTAGAACCATACGGATACCGAAATTAATGAATTAGCTAAATTAGTTACAAAGCAGCAAGTCAACGTTTTGGGGTGGGTGGCATCACAAAGTTACGACCTCAGTTCCACAAGGGTAGAGCTGAAACAGTGTGTCAGAAAGGTAGAATACAAATATAGCAGCTCTGTGGAGACCTGGGGCAAAAATCCAGGAAACTATAGTGAAAAGCTTGTGGAACAAAACCAGAAGTAATACGAAAAAATTTAGTATTACACGTAAACTTCCAGCAAATAAAGTACATCGTTTCCTGATATCGTGTTAGTAAGCAAACAGCAATATGCTGTCAGACAGTGGCAGTTTCAACTGTGTATTTATGCAGCATGATGACACTCGCATCATAATAGTTATCACTTTCTCAATATAGAAGGCATGTTCTCACGGTGTGATGTAAGCTAGCAAACAAAACCCAAGCTTAAAAGGTTATACTGATTTTTATTTAAAACAAATTTCACACTTGCACTTAACAATTTTGAGACTAAGTTTCAGCGATGAAATTCAATCTAAGCACCAATTAAAAAGACAAAGGTTATCCAAGGGACTTTTACAAGACAAACAGTCAGTTTATATCCAGAAATATATAAAAAAAAATAAATCTATGACAGTCCAGTGGCATATAAAGGGTCCCGGTAGGTTCAATTCCAATTTGGTTCTACTTATACAATACGAAGCAGTCACAATCAGAATCCAATTGGCTGAAAGTTATCTTAGAAAGTCCAGCTGATTGGTTGAAATGAACCCCTTCTAAATGCAAACAGCAAAGCTACAACTGAATTGTGCATAATAAACAGATCATCTCCTATAAAGCGAACATACAAAAGCTCCAAACTGTCTAAATCTAACAGCAGTCAAATTATATTGTGTGGGATCAAACAGAGACACACTCGCATCCAAATGCAGCTTTCCACCTACACTAATTAAGGATGAGGCTATTCAACAGCTGATGCTGCATACAGGCCAATTAAAATTAAGAAAGCCATCTTGGGATTGATGTGGCTTGCTTATAGGTGACCCACATGCATCCTTTCAACCTGGAAAGAGAAGTGGCAGCAATAATGAGACACCCTGCAAAGCAAAATGTGTCAGAGCACAGAGTGTGCTTATTTAGGCTATAAAGACTTCAACTGTCCAAGGCAGAGGAATCAGAGCCAACGGAGAGTCATTGCATCTCTCCATAACCGCCGAATCAACTCCAAGCTGCAATCTCGATTAATGCATGGCACCGCTGGGACCTTCCTCTGTCTTCCTCTTTTTATTACCGTCTCTCACAAACACAATAAAGGGCGCGCACTCCCATTTAAACTAACCTTTCTCCATCTTTATCTCCGTCCTAGGAGTTAAAACATTCATCAGCCACTCTAATGGACTGGGCTACTTTCAGGAGAGTCTTCGAAACGAAGGGAGAAAAAAAAAAAACATTAATTCATTAAAAATATTTTGGTAGTGTGAAAAAAAGCAGTAAGATAGATGAAATAATCCAGAGACGGCATGTCGATGGGATGTTGAGTGTGCACGGTTTTCAAAGCAGCAGTGAAACTTATAATCACCTGGTTCCGTTACCTTCAACTGATCAGTGCTGATTTCAATCAATTCAAATTTTCAAGTTCATTTCAGCTAGTAATTTTCACCATGCCTCCATAACTAGAGGTGCTGCCATGGGATTGGCTGATTTCTGTTAACAACAGGTGCATCTAAACAAGTGGCTGGTCTGAGTCAGACCAACCAGGTAGGAATCACCAAATGAAAACCCTCCGTGTAATTCTTCCTTTGCAAACAAGCTGGGATTTACGTTTTTGCTTCTTTTTCTTTAACTTAATAGACGTTAACAAACGAGTTCACGCTACAACGTCCGCAGGCTGACGTACCACGACAGGCGTGTCCCGAACTGTGTTCTCCGGTATCACCACACTGTAAGTGTCTTTTTCCCACTGTGGAGGCTGGTTCTTCACATTGGTGATGGTGACAGCCAGTTCCACCGAACTGCTCTTGTTTCCTCCGTCTGTTGCTACAATCTCCCTGGTGATGTATGTCCTCTGTGGACAGAGTAAAGGCAGTGAGGCTTAAGGACAGGAAGAGAAAGCAAAAGGCTGAAGATGTGACTTTATGTCAGAAACTGCAGGGTAAAGAGTGTGGTGCGCTAAACTAACAACGTGCTTTGTAGCAGCTCTATATAGCAGACTACTGTGAATTAGGCAATTTTGAATTAAGAGTTTTGTTGTGTGTTTGATGATGTCAAGCAAATAAAAAAAGATAAAAAAGAAAGAAAGCTTGGGTTGTTAGTAAGGAGCTTCAAGGTGCTGAACATACAAATGTTCAGTCCCGTCGTTCCTGGAAGAGTCCGAGATGTGCAGTATGGAAATCGTTACACGGAATTTTCCTCTCGTTTTTTCTTACAAACAGAATTGATTTTTCTTTGTTGCTGGTAGTGAAGCAAAGGACAAAAAGGAAGCAGATATCAGATAGCCTCCTCTGGGCATGGGGCTCTGGTGAAGTTAGAACCGCAATTGTCAGCAATAAAGTGCTGATACAAGCATTCGGTCTTTGCTTCAGGTTGACTAAAATCCTTTTTTTATTAGTGACAAACTAACGTTTAATTCTGTCCTCTAACACAGGGGTGCCCAGACTTTTTGAGAGCAAGATCTACTTTTTCTCTCACCAGCCGCCTGAGATCTACCTCATGACACAAAGAAATAAAAATTGCTAATTAAACTCTATTGACTTATTTTATATGCGAGTATGCATCAGTTGTAGCAGAAATAATAAAGTGACAGAAAACCTAACGCAGTTTCTTCCTCAGTGAGATTCTGACACTGGGAGCAGGTTACTGGTTTCTGGTTGCAAACCCGAGGCCAGCAGGTGTCAGTCAGTCATGGTAGATCTGAAATTTGGTTTGATGACCTCAGTATGAGAAACTACAGACTGACAGGAGGAACCAAAGAGCCCAGTAAAAGTAAAGGCAAATCTTCTGAAGTCGGGATATAATTAATTTAATTTCACATAATTATCTCGGTAGAATTTGTTAAAACTTAATGAAATATATTTGTCCTATTTGATGTTTGTTGTGGCGTATGCTCACAAACGAGCATACGTTTGTGAGCGGTGGTTGAGTAGCTCATTTAAACTCCTGCTCTGCTCTCAGTCGGTGTTTGAGTTGCCTTTTCTTTTTCTTTTTCTTTTTCTGTTAATGGGACTCAACACCTTGTTGAAACAATAATTACTGAGATTATTAATTTTAACATGTTTCGTTGACTTTTTATACTTATTCTTTTTTAATGAAGCTACAAACGTTTAGGATCTTAGTGAATATTTTTGATAAGCCCGTCAGAAGAGGAAGTGCTGGTCTCAGCGTCCTGGTGGCGTTCAGATTGTCACCTGCCGAGATCGACTCAAAACCTTCCGCGATCGACCGGTCGATCGCGATCGACGTATTGGGCACCCCTGCTCTAACAAGTTCTAACGTTTGAGCGAAAATCCAGACATTCTTCTTGAGAAACTGTTGCAAGTGAACTTTTGAGTCTCATCAGCGACCAAGTAGCAACACTTACCACTTCAACAATTTTTTCTTTATTTATAAACCACTATTTGACTTCATTAATCACAAATTAGCTCTGCACAGCTTTCGTACAAGTAACACAGCATTAGTTTATGCTAAAAGCTTTTTTGTTCTTGAACTTTCGATTTCCACTGATGTAAGTATCAGCCTGAACTCGGCTCATATTTACCTGGGAGATGGGCTGGTTGACGTACACCCAGCCCGTCAGCGGGTTGACCCTGAGGTACTCCGGCTGCTCACCAGACATGGTGTATGTGACGGCTGCGTTGCTGCCAAAGTCATCGTCATGGGCCGCCACCCGCAGGAAACTAGTTCCGATCATCGTATCCTCACGAAGGAAGTCTGAGAGAAAACAGATGTTTCTGAGTTGTTAGTATATTTTTCTCATAAAAAGAATTAGCCCCTTTAAAGATTCCTTCTGCATTTTCCTTTTGTCTCCAAACGTTTCAGATCATTAACAAATTTAAATATAAAAAGATAAACTTGCTTTCAGTTGATGAGTTCATTTATTAAGGAAACACCATATACAAACCAGCATGACCCAATGTGAGAACATCACTGTCCTCCCTTGTTAAAACATTTAGAGTTTATGAATGACCACGTTTTTGGTGAGACCTGATTTCTAGCCTGACATTAAAGAAATAACTTGTCTGACTACATGGTGTAGACTGTTCACACAGCAGTTCTTATTGCTCAGTTCTGATTTGTTTTGCTAAAATCTGACTTTTTGGGGTGTGGGGGTTAGCTTTCATACAGCTGCATGATGTGACCACAATCAGATATCTGTGTGAACGGTTTATAACCCCAAAGCGACCCGCATGGAAAGAAGAAGATCGCAGACGACACACAGCAGCGTTCTGTTCGTGGAAGTAAACTTCAGAGAAAACACAAGAAAAACACACCAGAGATCTGCTTCTACACCTGCAGAAAGAGAAAAAAAGCCCAAAGAACTGACAAACAACAAATATATATAACGGTAATACTCTGTGTTTAAGAGGTGATGGAGGGTTAGGATGTCTTAAATGGGAGTGTCCCAGTTGTCCAATAGAATCAGGGCCCAGGGTGCAATGAGGCTGTGAGATTAGAGAAGAGTACCCTGCAGCCCAAGGCCCTTCATGTGTGTATGGGGAGGAAAGGACATAAACTCAACGGGACACACAGTATCTTCTTACACTCATATCGGAGGTTCTCAAACTTCGGGCTGTTGTCGTTCTGGTCCAGGATGAGAATGTTGAGCTGGCAGATGCCGATCAGGGGGTCGGCTGCCTGGTCAGTGGCAGTCACTGTCACCGCATACTCCCGCTGACGCTCACGATCAAATTTCCTGGCAGTCACGATCATGCCTGGAAACGTTAGGGTGACAATGCAGATCAGACGGAGCTGAGAGCACCAGATTATCTCAAATTAATCTGATGACAGAATCCTGCCAGTTGAGTTTACATACCAGTATCAGGGTGGATGCTGAATGCAGGAACTGTAGAGTCTTTGTGCATGAAGCCATATGTGACCCTGCCATTGGAGCCTTCGTCTGCATCCACAGCGTGAACCTGCAGAACGAATGACCCGGCCGGCTGGTTCTCCAGAACCGCTGTGCTCTCTCTGTACTGCTGACACTGAGGAGAGAGAAAACAGCAGAGACAACGGTGTGTAATAAAAACATAAAAGTAGAATGCTTGCATGGAGATTGTTTCTATTTAGTAAAGAGAAAGGTTTGGTAAAGTTGCTTCTTTCGGATTATTTAGTATTTAGTTGCACTAAATTTATATTTAATGCACATGTACATGAAAATGAACATATGATATAATACCACACAAGAGAAAATGGTAGAAAGTAGTTCCCACTCTTGCCCTTTTATTTTAGTTTTTACTGCTCACTTAAAAACCTTAAGTTAGTATAAATAACTCTTAGTGACATAAAGTAGATTTACAAAATTAATTTAAAAAAAACCACACAACTTCAGTTTATCTTTCACAAACTAACACATTTAATTTCAAATTCTAAAACTTGTTAGATTTCTTTGACCTAAAGGGTAAAAATTAGCAGACATAATTAATGCTCTTGTAATATTTTAGTTTATGTTGCAGAAATGATAGCCAATATTAAGTAATTAATTAATATACAACAAATATTAGAATTAGTGTTCTTTGTGACACAGAAATGTGGTTTCCAATCTGCTATAATCACCAACAAAAGCTTTTGATACATATAGTTGCTCCAGTGGAAGAAGTTGTACTTGATATCTTTTTTATTCTTTTTCTTCTGTTTAGATCTATCACTGAAGTTGTCAGACATGTCCAGTATTATTCTCTTCATTTCAACAGTGCTGACGTTTCTGCTGTTATCTCCCACTGTGCAGCTCTCACATCCTTCTCTTTAGTCCTCAACTCGTTTTTTTTAATTTTTTTTATGGTGTCTGACAGAAGTACAGATGCCCTGCATGCTTTAGGGAAGGCATCCAGCCCGTTCTTCCCTTGGCGCCGCCTCGTTTTCAGATCCACTTGTGTTCCTTTTGGTTCGTCCCTCTTCACAGGGAGCAAACACTTTGTGAATTAGATCAAGTTACTCAGCCAAGACAATTAACCCAGAGGGTCAAGCAGAGTGCGGTGTGTCACAAATGGCTTGTTAATGCGAAACAAATTGTTCAGAGGTTATTCAGAGCAAATGGTTTACATGAAAACGAACCAAAACAAACAAACAAACAAAAAAATAAGCAATGAGATGCATTAAGCAGGTGAAGTGTCAGGCTTGGTACTTAGTGGGATTACAGTGAACAAGACTCTGCCTGTAAACTATTGAATTGATATTATTAACTTTGAACTCTGAAAAATAATAATAATAAAAAAAACAATCAACAAACTGCTAAATATGTAAATTGTTAGAGATTGTTGCCGTCTCAATAAGTGTCCAACGGGCCTCTGCAAACCCAACAAAATCAGAACTCCCATGTCTGCAGCCATGTCCTGCTGCAGGTCACTGATTTATTATTTCCAAATATATCGCGTCCAGTCAACTTAGCTTTAAATCCCTTGGTCAGGACCTTGCAGCCATCAAAGACTCATATATACCATGACAACCAGCTGAATTCTCTAATGTAAATGTAGCATTACAACGAGACAACAACCTGAAATTGATCAGTCTGATCGTATCACCGTTCATCCTTAGATTACATTTTTTTTCACCTTGTTCCTCCTGGAGATGATTTTCACTCAAATCAACCTGAAATAAGTTCATCACATCATGTTGTGTTTGTATTAATTTGTCTCATTTGATCACGTCGGGTAAACGCTGCAATGAGAGCCGTCATAAAATTACTAATCACACCATCATGTTAATCTGTTATTCCTTGTAATGTCTCATTATGTAGTAATGACGTAATGTAATGTAATAGTAATAAAATCAGGTGTAAAAATGCAACAAAAAAAACATGAAATGATACTGATTAGGATGAAAATAAACAATGGTTTGTTACTGTTTATTACATAATCCAGGATTATAACATTATCATTTCTAAAAAATGATTTTAAAAAAATTAACCTCAGCATTTTTGTAATAAATGGTCATAAATGCAATAATATTATTCCATAAAGTGACATAATGAACATTGTAGCCTCACAGCTACAGCATTCATGTTGCGTTACAAATTCCTAGTATTTGACAAGCCCACACCATGAGGCTAAAGGTTAGAACTGAATGCAATCAGTGGCTGTGTGTCTGTAGTGCCACTGCCACTGGGAAATACAAGAACCTGTTATGCTCCGAATCACCACCTTTCTGTGCTTTTGTCTCTTTCTTTTGCCGTCTTGGTCTACTGAATGCTGCCCAGAGGCCCAAGAGGCTGCGGCACATCCAAAGATCTGAAATCCAAACAAGATGAGGGCTTCTGCCGGCTTCACTGTCCAGATGCTGACTGTGAGCGACAGAGGACACAGAGACAGACTGCGGGTCGTCTTCAGTAAATGAGCCATGGTGTTCTCAGTTTGTAGAACTGAGTCACGTTCTTTTATACATTTTGCCACATGAAAAACAAGAAACGCATTTATATTTACTCGAGACTTTATGTAGTAGACCATGGTGCCTGGCTGAAGTGGAAGAAAAGTGAAAATCGGATATGTGCAATGCTCTCTATTTCGAAATACAACTAAAAAATAATTGAAAATAATAAATACTGTAGGCGCAAAAAAAAAAAGAGTCCACATGTGTGTCATTTAATGTCTTTATAAAACAGTTATATGAAGGCCAGTGGGGTTTGCTAGAGAATACTGGTGAGCAAACAGAATCATTAAGAAAAAAGAAAACGGGAAAAAGAAGAAATTTAAAGCACACTGCAAAAACACAAAATCTTACTAAGTATTTTTGGTCTAGTTTCTAGTGAAATTATCTCAGTACAGTTAAAATAAGACAAAACTAACTGATAAATTAACTTGTCAGTAAAATATAGGGGCTTGTTTTAAGTCAATATTTCCTTAATATTAATAAAAAAGTACTAGTTCCAATGGCAGATTATTTCACTCCAGACTTTGTTACACATGGAAAAGATTTTGTGGTTTTGCAGTGCAGGGTTGGTTTTCTAAAATGTCTTCCTTCTGAATTAAGACTTTGAAGCTCTCACGCAGCACTGTTCAGTCTGTTGTCACTTTTGATATTTCCACAGTTACACATTTTGAGTCAGTCTATCACATAAAATCTCAACACAACACATTTTTGGTTGTAATTTAACAAAATATTTTAAGAAATTCTTTGAGAAGACCTTTGCAATTCACCTTACACTTAACCGTTTTTCATTCCAGAACTTTCTTTTAATCTCATTCTTATTGAAAACATTTAACTTCAACCTTTTCATACTTTCATATTTTTGTTCATAGCTTGCATGTTTCAGTTTGTCTTGGAGGAGGCAAATGTCAGGTACCAGGAGACTGTTTGTCTTTTTCAATCAGCCTCCGGTTAAAGAGGAAGAGAAGAGCGACTGAAGTGGAATACACAACAGAAAACCCCCGAGAGAAAACTGAGCGTGAAGTTTCAGTTCACTGTGTTTTCAGCTGTAACGTTTCAGTGAGAGACGAAAACACGACAAAAGTCACTTCGATCTAAACGAATTTGGAATTATTAGCAGCTTAAAAGTGAGGTTGGTTTTTAATTTTGACTTTGGCAGCTCGTTTCCATTGGTCCAACATTATCCCTTTAAAGACACAGAATCCCCCTTTGTCTTCTTGTTGCCTGGCTAACAGGATATGAAGCAGAAAGGAAAACACTTCCTGTTTCACTTTCTTCCCACAAGAGAGTAAGGAGGCTTTACTCAGCAGCAACACACACACACCTCCTATTCTTGGCTCGGGATACCTCAGGGGGCTGAAAAGTCACCTCATTTAAAATTGAAACATGGAAAGAAAAAAAAAAAGCTGGTGGAGAGGCAGCTCTTCTAGAGCAGGTCGGTCGGGATTTCCCCCACATCCCTTAAAGCCTTAATTAAAAGACAGAGATGATGTAGGATGGAGATGCGAGGAAAGAGATGAGGGTCATGCTCGCTAATCGCTCCTGTAGAAGAGAGAGATAGGGGCTAATGAGGAGACGAGATAGGAAGACAAAGACATGGATACAGAGAAATGATGGAGAACACTTCCACAGGATGGGAAGGCAGTGGAACGATACTTGGAGAGGAATGTTTTAGATTCGTCTGGGAGAAGAGACGGCTGTGGAAGCTGAAAACAAAACAGGTGGGGAAGTGGAACGAGCTAAAATCGCACTCGATAACGCCAACGCGTTCGTACCTGTTCAAAGACAGGCTTGTTGTTGTTCACGTCGTCCACTCCCACTATGACCTGCGCTGTGGAGGCCAGCGCCTGTGGCCCGCCCGAGGAGTTGTCATCTGTGGCCGTGACGTTGAGGACGTACTCCACGCCCTGCAGGCGAGGCGGCGGGCTGGAGCGCAGCCGGATCAAACCTGCAGCCAAACACAGCAGTAGTTAGCACACTGCCACGCCTTTATGGAGGATCGAGTTTAGACATTTTAGTCAATATGATCGACCTCAAACGAACGCAAAGCCTTCCAGGGTTTTTCAATCCACTAGATCACATGTGTCAAACTCGAGGCCCGGAGGCCAAATCTGGCTCACGGTAGATTTTCATGAGGCCTTCTGGACTCCAAATTACATCAATACGTCCCTTCAGTTTTTCACAAACCCACAAAATTCATGCAAAATTAAAAAAAAAAAAAACATTTCTAATTTTACTGCTAATTTTTCTCTAAATAGGCCAATCACATTGGGTATGAGTGACTGTTCAGCCCTACTGGATGTCAAGTTATCTTTATGGTGATTAATAAAAAGTCACATTTGGCATCATACATTAGCACAAATATAGTAACATTTTCGCAAAAATATTTCTAAATGAGCACCAAAAAATTTGTGATTTTAATTGCAAAAATCCACAGAAACAATCACAAAATCCTGGATGGACTGAAAAGCCGTCCAATATAATGTAATTTTAAGAAACACTTATTGAATGCTGAAACAAACAGTTTGTATTGATATTTTAACAGCTTAATGGGTTTTATCATTAATTAAAAAATTATTAACCACCAGCATTTATTGAGACCTCATAAAATTCACAACAAATGGAAAACCTTTTACCTTTCAGTGTCCAAACCATATTGGTTTTCATTGACCTTCACACAGCAGGTCAATGAAAATCAAACTTTTTTTTTTTTTTTTTGTCAAAACGTGACCAACATCATGACTGTCTGAACGGCTCAACTAAAAACTTTTCACCCAAAAAGTCCAATCCAATCTGACCCAGAGGCCAAGAACACTTAGGTCCTGCAGCACAATGTTCCATCCACAGTACTGTAGAATGTCCACTTTCGAATGGTTCAAAACAGTAGAATGAAGGTTTTGAAGCGGTCTAGTCAAAGACTTTGCTTAAATCTGATTCAGGTGCTATGTTGGGGCCTCCAACAGGATGCTGATGCTCCAAAGCTTTCCAATGAACCTGAATGAGAAGGACTCCACAAACATCCTCTGATAGTCATTTCAGAAAAGGGTTCAGGGGCTGATTATTTTTGCACATTGGGTGCAAGAATTAAATCAAACTTTGTCTGATTTCAGATTTTGCTTTTAACCTAACTGAAATTTTCCACCTCAAATCAAACTTCCTCCCATGTAGAAAAGTTCTGCTAGCTTGTGGTGAAGGGCAAACACAATAAATGAGTCCAACAGAGTGCATGGAGCTAAATTAAAGCACTGTTCTCTCCACAAATGCCAGAAGATGACTCTGTGTCCGTTTTTATCTCCAGCATTTGTCATTATTTGGGACCGCCTGATGTTAAATTGATTGGTATTCCCTTTGTAGCGCTGCTGCTGCATCCCATTTCTCCCTTCCTCCAACGGACTCTTTCAGTCTGCTGTAGGCGTCTCATCTGCATCCCACTCTGTGCTCTGAATGACTCTCTTCCACTCTGTATGCATCTCATCATTCCGCACTCTGTTTACCTTGTCTGTGTGTGTTTGTGAACGCGTGTGTGGGCCAAAAGTGTGGACACACTTATTACATCCTCCTTATCTTCAGAGACAGTGGCGGGTGTCACTGTTGTCATGTCCCCATTTGACTGCTGTTGCAGCTACGACCCTGAAATTGTAATCATATATGCGCTTACTGTAGATACACATGTATGTGTGCTATTCATCCTTCTATCTTTGCCTAGCAGACCAATGGGACTGATGTGACAGATTAAAGTCTCAAAATGTAAGATCATTGTGTTTTTATCCTACTTTTGTGCGTCTACTACACGCAGCAGCAAAATCACTGCAACTGCAACCGCGCCTGCGTGAAACATGGCAACCAAAGGCAGACACTGATCAAGCAATAGGTTTCTAAGAAGAAAACCATACTACATAAAATTACAAGTATTTTATGCACCCAGAATCTTTAAAGCTATTTTGTAAATACATGCTGTGTGAGATTCTGACCTTATAGTCCAGGTAATGTTTTTGAATGATTGGCTGCCCAGAGACGAAGGTCTGAATGAATTAACGCCATGTACATGAACAACCTTGGTTAACACCTCAAGGTAGCTGATCGGGTTTGGGAACAATTCATCTGAAAATTTGATAGCCACTTTCTCGCCAACTGTATTTCCAATGACCATATAACTGCAATTATTGCCGCTGACCCAACCCATGAAAAAGAAGAAAACAGGAAGTAGTTGGAGCATCATGGCATGGAGTGTTACTTATTGACTCACTTCATGAACAAACTTATTTTGGGGTGATTTTAATCTCTTTTCTTATTTAATGGAAACACCGCAATTGCAAAATTGTGTTGTTTTTTTTATGATGTAAAGCTCAAAAAAGTTGATTTGCATAATACCGCCCCTTTAAATAACATTTGTAAAAGTGAAATAACTTTGCTAACTTAGCGAGATTTTCTTTTTCAAGATCTACTGTAAGTTATGAAATTATAGTTGATCTATGTGATCCATTTTGAAATTAGCTCCTACACAGATGGGTTCCTACAAAAACACTCTGTGTTGACATGTAGTTCTCCTCCCAAACAGTAGGGGGAATCACTGAAAAACGTAACAAAACACCACCATAGGGATGGCAGCAGAACTAATAGTCTTAGAGGAATCATTAACTTTTATCTACCGAACAGATCAAGATTTCATCCAGAACCTTCATCTCACCATAGCTGCTCTACCAATGTTCTCATGTCGCACATGAGACTGTGAATCATCATCAATCAGTTCAATTTAATGTCTCTAATAACCAGCCAACTAACAAAATGGGAGAGGAAAATTGTATCTTGGCTCCGTATTTAAATTTTCTATCCAGATATTGTCATTTAGTCTCTTCTTAACTACTTTTTGTAACTATAAACAAATCATTTCATAAGCAGGGTTTGATTAAACCAGAGATCAGCAAGTAGTTCAACAATAAGAGGCATTTGTGGCTTCAATCAAGAAAGTTGCTTTTTACTTTTTACTGAAAACAAGAGCTCTTTTGAAATTGGTGTGTTTCCATTAAGCAAATTTATTTGCTATTATTATTGTTTTGTTTTTGTTTTTTGTACACCGTCTATATTGATAGTTTAAGTGGTGTAGTAAGACATATTGCACAATTATGTGGCCATTGGAAATGGTGGCTTTATTAATAACCTGTTCTTGAATATCTGTTAATTAGTGAAGCTATGTTGCTTCAGGATATCGTTGAGCCTACGTCATGTCATACAGGTTCTGTTTTACTGCTTTCATCACTCAGTTCTGTCATGAAACTGGTGTGGGTGTGACTAGGAAACCTGAACCAAAGATGTGGTTATGCAGTGTGAATTTATTAAGACAGATTCATTTTATTTGATGATAAAATCTGTTTTTTGATGATGAAAAAGCTAAAGAAGTAAACCTTTTTTTCACGGTTCTTCACTCTCGCCCTGTATTAAGAGTAAAATTTAACTGTTTTCAACGCTGGTAAAAACAAACGCACAACAATGCAGAGACATCAGCAGCTTCACTGTGTTCAGAGTGGACACTCTAACTGCAGAGCCAGACGTTTCAAAGCTACCTGTACTGATTATCCACAACTCAGAACAGCCCAGTGACAGCGGGAAGATGACAGACGATCCTCTGGGTAAAGTGGGTTGTAGAGAGAGAGTTCTCCGTGGACTGGAGTTGTTTTTCTGACACTTCCCACAGTTGCTCTGAGGAATTGATGCACGGGGAGCTTGGGATGCTTTGCAAACACCTTGAGTGGTTTCCTTATGGAATGCTATGGAAGGCTATGTGTGAGTCGATCTGTGTGTTGCCAAACTGAACATCTCTGCTATACAAACTTTTAATTATAGCAACATTTACAAACGGGGGTCACTGAGAGTCAAAGGTCAAATGAAGGATTCTGTCAACAAAAATACTATCATTGATGCACTCCATAAATCTGGTGTTTGTAGAAGAGTGGCAAGACGAAAGCCATTACTGAAAGACCGCTACAAAAAGCCAAACTCACGGAATGCTGTAAGCAGCAAACATGTGGGAGAAGGTAAGCAGGTTGAATGGAAACAAAATGGAGGTTTTTGGCCTACATTTAAAACAGTTTGTGTTTGGGAAGATTAAAACTTCACAGTATCTCTCGTTAAACACGGTAGTGGCAACATGATGCTGTGTTGAGGCTTATGGAGAGTAAATGCAGAAGGATCCAGTTTTAGGGTAGGTGATAGAGGACATAATACTTTTAATATTTCACAGCTACAGCTGGTTGTTATTGTTACTCTGATTAAAATAAATGCTAGCTTTGACAATTAGCAAGTGTAGCATTGGTTACACAACCACAGCAACTATTACAACCTCACTACCAAGGCAGACAACAAGGCTAGTTATAGGTTTACAAATGTTGCATCATATTCACAAAGATGTTGATTCAAATTAAAACTTAAGGCAGTGAAGTCAACCATGTATGTTTGGTTTCGTCTTTTATAGATTCATACAAAAATAAAATTTTTGAACTGCTGACTCTTTGTGTTTTCATTGTGTATCGACGGCCCCAAAGGAGAATACTTTACATATTCTTAAAGTGATATTTTTTTCCTTTCATTTATAAGAAAATTGTTCATCCACAAAGTCCCTGAACTCCCCAACAAAAACACTGAACTACCCATGCTGCGCCATTAACAATACATTAAAATTCAACAAAGCAACAGCCTGAACATTGCAGAAATAGCACTGGGATCAAGATTTTCCACAAACAAGACATCCAACTCAACATGCATGTTTTTAAACAACCGTAGAGAGCACCAAGTTCACACAGAAAGCACCAAGTTCACACAGAAAGGGCTCAGTGAGTTTTTTTCTTTAAGGTTTAAGAAAAGGTAACAGCACCCAGCCATTTCCCTGCATATAATATCATAAAATGTATCCCCCACAAATTAGGGCCAGGACTTTAACATGATAACTTCTAC